GTGAGGGATTTAAGGAGCTCAATTTATTTTGATCATCAGAGAAGAGGTTAAGAAATTACTTGATCTCAGTTTTTAAGTACCTACACAGAGATAATCTGTTCAATGCTTACAAGGTGATTTAAGTTAAGTTGTTAACAGATGATGGCAAAACTGATCCACTAGCCGGAGGTTGGAAACCAACACATTAAAACTGAAAATAGGGCACACGTTTTTAACAGTGAGAATAACTGCTGGAACAGTTAGCTAGTAAAATGGAGATATTATAATTGAGCTGCTGGTTACTGGACTTGATGAAAGAATCACTGTGAAGAAGTCTATGGTGCATGTTATGCTGGAAGTCAGATTAGATGATCATTAATGGTCCCTTCTGGCTTTCCGATCTCTGAGAATAATATCTGGTCATGTGCTTTTCATTACTGTAATCATTTATGAGGCAGTGGCTACACTATGCTCTGTATTTAGCAGCCAGACAAGAGATGGTATATGGCCTTAAGCAGCTCACAGACAAGACACACACACAAATGAAGTCTTATGAACATGTTGTTCGCATTAGGAGCTTAGGCAAAAATTTCAGTTACTTTTCAGCACTTATGGAGCAAAACAGCAGACAAAAAAGACCCACAGAGGGATGAATCTTCCATGTGAGGAAAATGCAAACACATGTGAATAGAGAGGAAAGCTGGACAGAGGGGAAACCTATATTCATAAAAGGAACCCAAGAAGGGTTTTTTTGAGGGGGACGGGGGCGGTGGTGGAAAAGGTTTAAATTCTGTTGCGTTATCCTAAGTATGGGTCTAAAACATGTATACCAGATGAAAAACAAAATAAAGCATTAAAAGAAAGAAAGGATGGTAAAAAACATGGGATGCAGTTTAATTGTGCTCTTTGATAAAGTGAGGGTCTAAGAAACAATAATGAAAGACTAGCATGGAAAAAGTATCTTGCTGTTGGAGAAAGATCTAAGAAACCTTTCACTCTTCTTTGAAATGACAGCCTTAATATATTTCCATAGCATTATGGGGGTCTCTTTCCCCATCAGCATTTTCCAACAAATAAATACATGGAAAAACTCCTTTAATATAATCCTTTAAACAGAGCGTCTTTTGTTTTATGACCATGCAAAGTAACTTCAAACAAGCCATTTCAAAGGGGAATCTTGGCTAGTACTTTGAAGAAATCATTGTTCACAGATATTCCAGATTATCTGAATGCATTTTTGCATTAAATATTACTTACTGCTAGTCATTTATTATTTGAATTCAGACGATTTCAGTTTATTATACTCTGAGTGCCTGTGATCAGTCTTTCACATCATACAAGCTTCCAGTTGTGGAAGGCAGAATTTTCTGTAATGCTACAGGCAGGCAATCTTAATGGCTAATGCCCCATCTAATTTTGCTATGGAATTACCTGCCTTTGCTTTTAAATCATGGTTAATGTACTGCTAATTTATTTCATGCTTCCCCCAAAAGAACGTAAGACTTCAAGGTATAGTAATTAGTCTTGTGATTTTTTTTTCTCAAGATCATTGTTTATCTTAGCAGTAGTGGGAATCTAAGTGAATGAGAGGAAATGAGTTGGGAGTCAGCAAATCTGCTGCCACCAATGCTGCTGCTGCTGCTGTTCTGAACTGCTATCAAATATACACTGAAATCAATTAAAAATACCATCTCCAACTTTTCCCTGAGATGCAGTCCATCATTCGATAAGCTGTGCTGCAGCAAGGTGAAACTGAACACAGTTGAAACAGTGAATTAAACAGGACAAAAAATTGCTTTCAGGAACAAAGAAGGTAGTCGGCCTTTTAACGGTTTGCCACTTTCATCATGACACATTACACAACTTCCTCTAATAGCCTAAGAGGAGCCACCAATTGATCAAGGTTCTCATGAGAACTACCAAACACTAAGAATGAGTAATGTAATTTCTTTGACAGCAGACTTTGATCATTTTGAAATATATGGCTGTCAATTATGCCTGAGAGTCACATGCTTGATTAAAAAGACACTTTCCTATAAGCTTGCCATAGGTCTAGACATTACACAAGACAATGGGCTCCCGCTTCATTAGCAATCTGCGCTCATGTAGTATTTTGTTTCACAAAGCTCCATGAAGCACTTTGCAAGTTATGCAAGCATCACTTTGAAATGCAACAGTCGAAGATTTAGAATTCAGCACCTGGTTATCATTGTACAGTAATATTATACAGCAGTTTAAGGCAGGATATGAAGACAACTATGTCCACTTTTATAGCAAACTAGTAACTATATAGTAGGGAGATGATGTGTATAACTGACAAGGATGTCTCATTTTCATAGTTGATAGATAGCATAGAAAGGAATGGTGCAAGCATGGTTATAGGACTGGGAACATTTTAGGACATAAACATGTAATCATTGAGGAAAATCCCTCACTATGAGTTTTAATTGGGTCCTTTAGGCCCCTGGCCGTTCATCACGTATGGGTTGTATATGAGAGAGCATTGTGCTCCTATGGTCCTTGTTTTGTGAGCCTTCCAAGGCTCCTCTGATAATTTAAAATGCTTTGTAGACATTTAGCTGTCAGTTGATGCATATTATTCAAATCTCTCCAGTTGCATCTCAAACTTATGCAAACATCTTTCTTAATTATGGGTTTCAGTCTACTGTAGCAAGGGGGGCGGGGTGAGTGGGGCAACTGCCCTGGGCACCGAAGCAAAGAGGCGCCAATAGGTGCTGTCCAACCAGGGCGGGGCATGGGATGGAGCTGTGAGCGGCTCATTTGGGAGGGCGGGGGGAAGGTGGCTCCTGCCACTGGGTGCACTCCTGGGCAGGCATGGGGGAGGCGTGTACCCCCCCCCCAGATCTGTGTGTGGGGCAAGGTCAGGCTGTTGCTGTGGGCTTTTCCTTGGGTGCCATATGTCATTGTTACAGCACTGGTGTCAATGTAGACACGGCCTTAACAGCTTAAAATTAGGGGCATGTGTTGAGTTCACCCTCAACCCCAACCAACCAATATGTTGGTTTCATAAACCAAACATCATAAACCCCCTAATCTTGACTTCCTTTCTGACCCCGCAAGTTCAGCAGAATAAGAATGACAATCAGTTACACAACTTTTATTTGAGAATTTTTTTGCAACTCTAGAATCATGGCTAAACCTCCCCATCTTGGTGAAGTGCTGAATTAAGCACACAAGAGATTGAACACTCTTTGAAGACCTTTCCAGGCCTAAATTATTATGTCAGATCTGGAGAATTGTCTTGCATGCCTCAATGCTGTAGTTTAAGCCTGAGATTTTCATCTTTTCATTGTGACATAAAACAGAAATCCTGACTACTTCACGTCACTGGAAGGACAACAGCATTTTTCAGCAGTTTCCTGACCAAATTCCAAGTCTCTTGCTTTCTGCCTACAGGGACAATTTGAGGAACTGGTCCAGACAACACATGGTATATGATATATAGTAGGAAATTGTCTTTAGAAAAATTGCAAAATCTCTGAAAGCCTGTGTCTGTGTGCATCTACTGCATGCTGTTAGGGTTGAATCATGTCTCTGCTAGACCGGGGTAATTAGGGGTTATTAAAACTCAATAGCCATTAAAACTCAAAGTGAATCCCCTTGTCACAATGAATATGTTCTGGGGCTGATTGGGACTCATACAGCCAGTTTTTTTCCTACGTCTCAGTATTGGAGAATTTGGAACAGTGTTACTGGAAGCTAAACAAAAAGGGCAGGTATTAGAAGGCAGGCAATTGGGCAGATGCACAGAAAAAGCTTTGGGCAAGAGGGGGGAAAAACAGGACCAGGTTTTGTAGTGTGGGCAGAGCCTTCTTTAGCTAGAGGACCAATGGTGGTCACAGAAGACCCCTGGGCTGGTTGCTTGCTTTGCAGAGAACAGATGGACCTATACAAAGGCATCGTGTGGAAAAAATGTATGTGGAGTAGTCCACTCTCTCTTCCCTCTCCTTCCCTCCCAGCTTCTGGCTTGCAGGGAACAGGGACAGCAGCAAGCAGCACCTGGGCAGAGTCATGGGTGCAAGGTGTTCTGGGAATTGTCAGTCTCTAGACTGGTTGCTACTGGGGTGGAAACTGGGAGGAATTTGCTGCTACTGGGTGGAATGTCACCCCATTTTTTTTACCCATGTCCAGAGGGCAAAAAAATGCTGAGTTTGGTGGCAAAATGTGATCAGTTCTCCCCCACTGCCAGCAATGAACTCTGCTGCTCTACAGGACTGATACCCTGAGCTTTATGACACAGTGCCTGTATCAGCTGCTTTCTGTGCAGGCAGAGTGAGACAGGCAGCCTGAGGTGCCTCTCCCCTGCCACCCCCTCCATCCTTCTGGCACCCTTCCCCTTAGGCAGTGCCCAGGGCACATGCCCTGCTTGCCAACCCCAGGTTTTGTTGCTGGACCTATTAGTTGCCAATGAAAGAATAAGAAAGAGAGGGATCTTGCTAAATTAAAAATTGTTGTTTTCTGTAAAAATTCATGAGCTTTTGTGCTTTAAGTAAGTGTGAGCAGGAACCCTGTGCAAAGCCTTTTATCTGTCTGCTCATTTGCTCATGTCTTTCCTACATCCCCCCTGAAGAGTTATACCAATACTTTAAAAAAAATTTCCAACTACATATAAGTGGCTCTAAAAAAGGGTATGCCTATGACTAAACTTTAGTCACGTCCATTCATTCCACCCACAAATAGCACCCCTGACCTTAGAGACCCAGCTCCTCCAAAAAGTCAATGTAGCTAAATAGCACAGTCAAGAAATGTATTAGAGTCAAATGAGGATACTAGAAACAGAAAGTTAAATGGCAAATTATAACAAGGCAGCAAAAAAGTATGTGGCATCTTACTAAAAGTATCTTACTGAAAGAATAAAAGCTAAAATACTAATATATACGTACTAGTCAATTGCCTGTTATAAATGATGGATTTCTAAGAAGCGTTTACATGGCTGGCTCCCAAGGGTGGCCCTGCCTCGGCTCATTCTGTTGCCCCTCACTGGCAAACCACAGGCCCCCCACCCTGCTGCTGCCCCTCACTCCCAACCCACTGACCCCAGCCCTGCCAGTGTCCCTCACTCACCAAATTGCAGTACCCTGCTCCCCTGGGCTATGATGGTGCCCCTCACTCCCAACCCACAGCCCCCCCTACCCATCCCTGCAGGTGCCTCTTCCTCCTGACCCACAGCCCCCTGGCGCTGCCAGTGACCCTCACTCCCAACCCACAGTCCCCCCAGCCTTGCCAGTGCCCCTCACTCGCCAAACTGCAGAACCCCGGCCCCTTGGGCCATGATGATACCCCCCCACTCCCAACTCTGAGCCCCCCACCCCTGCTGGTGCCTCTCACTCCTGACCAGCAGCCCCCTGCCCACATCTCGGTGCCCCACACGCCCAAGCCACAGCCCCCCAGTCCTGTGCTGACCCTCACTCCCAACCCACTGACCCCAGCCCTGCCAGTGCCCGTCATTCACCAAAAATGCAGTACCCTACCCCCTGGGCCCTGCTGGTGCCCTTCACACCCGACATGCAGCCCCCCACCCCAATCCCTGCTGGCGCCCCTCATTCCTGACTCTCAGCTCCCTGGCACTGTCAGTGTCCCACATTCACAACCCACAGTCCCCCACCCCAGTGCCCCTCAGTCCTGACCTGCAGCCCCCCACACCCTCATCCCTGCTGTTGCTCCTCACTCCTGACCCACAGTGCTCCGCCCCCACCCTGATGCCCCTGCACTCTCAACCCACAGTCCCCCGCCCTCACCCTGATACCCCTCACTTCTGCCCTGCAGGCACCTGCTCCCCCAGCCCTGCTGGAGGGGCCCAGCTGTGCCCGTCCTGCCCAGGCCAGAGTGCAGTGGCTCCAATTCATTCGGGTGGTGGCAGAGTGTATCCGGCCCCAGTATGGGCTGGAGGGAAGAGGAGGGGAGGCTTGTGGTACTCCCCCCATCCTGGGATGGGGCTGCCATGCCACACCAGGAA